CCCATGTCATTCACTGATTCCCTTGTCATTCACTGCTTCCCATTTCATTCACTGCTTCCCATGTCATTCACTGCTTCCCATATTATTCACTGCTTCCCCATGTCTTTCACAGCTTTCCATGTCATTCACTGCTTCCCATGTCACTCCCTGTTTCCCATATCATTCACTGCTTCCCATGTCATTCACTGCTTCCCCATGTCATTCTTTGCTTCCCATGTCATTCACTGCTTCCCATGTCATTCACTGCTTCCCCATCTCATTCACTGCTTCCCCATGTCATTCACTGCGACCCCATATCACTCTCTGTTTCCCATGTCATTCACTGCTTCCCATGTCATTCACTGCTTCCCCATGTCATTCACTGCTTCCCCATGTCATTCACTGCTTCCCATGACATTCACTGCTTCCCATGTCATTCACTGCTTCCCCATGTCATTCACTGCTTCCCCATGTCATTCACTGCGTCCCCATGTCACTCCCTGTTTCCCAAGTCATTCACTGCTTCCCATGTCATTCACTGCTTCCCCATGTGATTCACTACTTCCCCATGTCATTCACTGCTTCCCCATGTCATTCACAGCTTCCCAAAGTCATTCACTGCTTCCCCATGTCAGTCACTGCTTCCCATGTCAGTCACTCCTTCCCATGTCATTCAGTGCTTCCCATGTCATTCACTGCTTCCCATGTCATTCACTGCTTCCCATGTCATTCACTGCTTCCACATGTCATTCACTGCTTTCCCATGTCATTCACTGCTTCCCATGTCATTCACTGCTTCCCATGTCATTCACTGCTTCCCCATGTCATTCACTGATTCCTATGTCATTCACTGCTTCCCATATCATTCACTGCTTCCCATGTCATTCACTGCTTCCCCATGCCATTCACTGCTTCCCCATGTCATTCACTGCTTCCCATGTCATTCAATGCTTCCCATGTCATTCGCTGCTTCCCATGTCATTCACTGATTCCCATGTCATTCACTGCTTCCCCATGTCATTCACTGCTTCCCCATGTCATTCACTGATTCCCATGTCATTCACTGCTTCCCATGTCATTCACTGCTTCCCATGTCATTCACTACTTCCCATATCATTCACTGCTTCCCCATGTCTTTCACAGCTTCCCATGTCATTCATTACTTCCCATGTCATTCACTGCTTCCCCATGTCATTCACTGCTTCCCATGTCATTCACTGCTTCCCATATCATTCACTGCTTCCCCTTGTCATTCACTGCTTCCCATGTCATTCACTGCTTCTCATGTCATTCACTGCTTCCCCATGTCATTATCTGCTTCCCCATGTCATTATCTGCTTCCCCATGTCATTCACTGCTTCCCATGTCATTCACTGCTTCCACATGTCATTCACTGCTTCCCATGTCATTCACTGCTTCCCATGTCATTCACTGCTTCCCATGTCATTCGCTGCTTCCCATGTCATTCACTGCTCCCCGTGTCATTCATTGCTTCCCCACGTCGTTCACTGCTTCCCATGTCAGTCACTGCTTCCCATGTCATTCACTGATTCCCTTGTCATTCACTGCTTCCCATTTCATTCACTGCTTCCCATGTCATTCACTGCTTCCCATATTATTCACTGCTTCCCCATGTCTTTCACAGCTTCCCATGTCATTCACTGCTTCCCATGTCACTCCCTGTTTCCCATATCATTCACTGCTTCCCATGTCATTCACTGCTTCCCCATGTCATTCTTTGCTTCCCATGTCATTCACTGCTTCCCATGTCATTCACTGCTTCCCCATCTCATTCACTGCTTCCCCATGTCATTCACTGCGACCCCATATCACTCTCTGTTTCCCATGTCATTCACTGCTTCCCATGTCATTCACTGCTTCCCATATCATTCACTGCTTCCCCATGTCATTCACTGCTTCCCATGTCATTCACTGCTTCCCATGTCATTCGCTGCTTCCCATGTCATTCGCTGCTTCCCATGTCATTCACTGATTCCCATGTCATTCACTGCTTCCCCATGTCATTCACTGCTTCCCCATGTCATTCACTGATTCCCATGTCATTCACTGCTTCCCATGTCATTCACTGCTTCCCATGTCATTCACTGCTTCCCCATGCCATTCACTGCTTCCCCATGTCATTCACTGATTCCCATGTCATTCACTGCTTCCCATGTCATTCACTGCTTCCCCATGTCATTCACTTCTTCCCCATGTCATTCACTGCTTCCCATGTCATTCACCGCAGGAACAGTAGTAGTAGTAGCAGTAGCAGTAACAGTAGCAGCTGAAGCAGTAGGATCGGCAGGAACAGGAACCGGAGTTGCTGCAGGTGGGGCACAGGGAGGCGGCGCGGCTCGGCCAGGGCGGCGCGGCTCGGTTCGTGCGGCGCGGCTCCGCTCGGACTGGGCTACGCGGCCCATCCAGTGTCGTCGCGAGCATTTCTTGTGTAAACCCGAAGTTCCCCCCGCAGCGAACTTTCACTTTCTCCACTTTCTCCCGTATGGCCAGTGGTGTGCCGTCAACTAAGCGTGCGACGATCTCTGGTAAACAACGGCTAAGCGTCAGTTGCAGCTTCTGTGCAGTCGCGTTATTAACTAAACCGTGATTGCTCCTCCGTCTATAAAAATCTTCACTACTACCCCCTATATTTTTCTGTGAATCAGTATTGGGCAATCCATCACTGTACCTGTTAGATGAAAATGCTGCCTGGAGCAACAAAATGTCGGCGCTGGGATTCGAACTCGTGGCCTTCAAATCTGGCATGAAAGCGTCTCAAGACAGATTCAGGACAGTTTCTGCTAAGGCGCTGGTTATGGTGCACGCGATTTTCAAACTGGAGACCTTTCGATTCAAGTGTCCCGAAAGGGTCTTGTAAGGACAGATTGGGGACAGTTTGGCAAAATCGATCTCGGGTCGCGTTCGGTTTGAAACTCGGCAGCAAAGTGTCGAAGTCAACAGAATTCGCACGAGTTACAGTTAGTGGTCGACGGAATTCAGGACGTGGAAATTCTCGTCTACGGTATTCTAGTCAATGAAATTCGCCAGGCAAAATTCAAGGCTCGGAATTTTGCGTCGACAAAATTCAACGTGCGACTCGGGTCGACACTTTCTTGTGTGCTTTGTTTTTGTATTGCGTCCTGGTATAAAACCAGAGAGCACAAACCAGAAATAAACTAAGTCATTATCACGTACGTTGGCAAATACGAGTATCAGGTATAATACGCTAGCGTATTATACGTTGGGTATATACGCGGTACACAAGGGCCCTCTGGTCCGGTCATCCACTATGGTTGGGAAATACAGACGGAGGACAGACAGACTCAGACTCAGCAACAAGACTCGCGGCGTAGTCTAGGCGACAGCGAGCAGCAACGTCGACGAGCTCAGCAACTAGGGCAGACGCAGCAGTGGACTCAAAAGAAGGGTCAATGACAACAGTAGCAAGGAGACGCGTGACAGTAGGACTGGCAGCACGAAGAGAGTCCGACTCCGGGTCGGTAAGAGCAGGAAGAGAAGACTCAGTAGGAGAAGGCAAAGGGGCACGTAGAGGAGCAGTGGACGGGCGCAGAGACATCCGGTGCGTGCCAGGGACAGGAGGAGGACGCTGACGCGAACCGCGACCACTAGTGCGAGCAGCACGGACAGGCGACGCAGGGCGAGACGCAGGCTCACGACGCTCAGCAAGACCTCCAGTAGGACCAGTGTAGGGAGAAGGAGCAGGCAGTGGGGAGGCCGGCTGTAACTGTAATTGCGATGGGATAGGCTGTGGACACTCTAAGGGAGGAGGAGGACCAGTAGAAGGCGGGAGACCAAGAACCTGCTGAAAGAGCGGAACGAAGTACGGCCGAGGCCGCGCGGCGACTCTAGACACAGCAGGACCAGCACCTCCAGCTCTATTACCTCCACTAGCACCAGTAGCACCCCCAGCAGGACCGCCTCCAGGACCGACAGTAGTAGCCTCCGCACCAGCACCCGCAGCAACTCCTGCTCTAGAAGTACCTGCAGGCCCAGCAGCTCCAGTACTCCCAGTATGAGCACCTCCGGGACCCGCGGCACCAGCACCCTCAGTAGCAGCAGAATCTCCAGTACCCGCAGCACCTCCAGCTCCAGCAGCTCGCCTCCAGCGCCGGGCAAACCACTCACGCAGCTCCTGTGGAGAGAGTGGCTCCCGGCGAGACAAAGCACCCGGAGAACCGCCAGGCACAGCACCGCCAGACGCCACACGAGCAGGCCTAGCTCCCTCAGGCTACACACCCCCAGGCTCAGCACCTCCAGGCGTAGCACCCCCAGGCTCAGCACCCCCAAGCTCAGCACTCCCAAGCGTAGCACCCCCAGGCTCAGCACCCCCAGTCGTAGTACCCTCAGGCTCAGCACCCCCAGGCGTAGCACCCACACGCTCTCCACCCCCAGAGTCAGCACCCCCAGGCTCAGCACCCTCAGCAGCACTAGAGTCACCAGCGACCTCGACAAGCTCAACAACGTCTACCTGGGACACACCTGAAGGGGCAGGACCCTGAAGGGGGAGAGGGTCTACCGGGGGGGGGACCTGGCACAAGGAAGAGCGGTGGCTGGGGGAGGGACGGAGTGCGGTAGGGGAAGAGACGGTAGTAGGGGACCGACTCGTCGAACGTGACGTCCTGGGAGGACAGAACACGGCGAGAGGTGGGGTGGTAGAACTGCCACCCTGGCGCGTCAGGTGGGAAACCCAGGAAGACGCAAGGAGCAGCACGAGGGGACAGCTTGTCCGCAGACAAGTCGCGGACAAACGCCCGAGATCCCTAGACACGGAACGCAGACGCATCGCCAACCTTCCCCGTCCACAGCAAAGCTGGGGAGGTCTCCGCCATGGAGACCCTGGGCTGAAGGTTGATCTGATGCGTCGCGTACCGGACCGCAAACGGCCACAGAAAATGGGGGGCAGCCGTATGCATCATGGACGTACGGGCGACGTCCATGACCATGCCAATGCGGCGCTAAGCAATCCCATTTTGCTGTGGAGAGTCCGGAAGCGTGAAGGTCTAGCAGATGCCTCGTGCACGACAGTAGGCTCGAAGAAGGCCAGAAGAGAACTCTCCGCCTCTGTCAGAGTGCAGACGCAAAACAGGAAAGTTCGAGCCGAAGCTCTGCCTGAGCTGGAGACGAGCTGCGCGGATCCAGTCGATCAACACCTCAGTGACATCACCCTTGCTGCGCAAGGGGAAGACTGTGGTGTAACGCGAGTAGTCGTCAACCACCAGCAGGAAGTAGCGCTCGTGACCCTGTCCACGGACGCGGGCCGGGCCACACACGTCCATATGAAGCGTCTGCAGCGGGGCCTCTGTCAGAGGAAACTGGGAGGAGTGAGGGGCAGCCCGCTTCTGCCCCTCGACACAGGGGATGCAGGCAGGGCCAGGCCTCGGAGGAAGGGGAGGGAGGGACCGGGGAAGACCAGAGACAAGGACACGGGAGGCCATGCTTCGGAGACGAAGCAGGGAGGGGTGAACAAGGCGGTGGTGCCAGAAGAGAGTCTCGTGAGACAGGAGGCGACACGAGCAGGGGGCAGACCTGGACGCTGCAGCAAACACCTGACCCGACGCAGCTACCTGACCAGATGCAGTGACAGGAGGAGACGCAGTGGTCAGTGTGTACAGGCTCGACCCCGGCCGACGTGTAAACGTGGCCAGGTGTCGGCCTGTCCAAGCGTCCGTGCAGTGGGTCACCCGCTGACTCGCAGGAGTGAACTGGTGAACCCTCGCATCCTGTAGGTCAGCACCACTCACCAAGTTCGTAGAGAACGAGGGGAGGTAAAGACCAGACAGGGTGCCAGAGGGGGCCGCCGGACACGGGAGGACAGTGGAGAAGTGAGCAAGGACAGGACCCCCAGGGGGTCTGCCAGAGAGACTGTAACTGGCCGACCAAGCGGCGTGAGTGTGGTGCGGTCTCGAAAGAAGGAGCGAGAAGCCCCCGAGTCAAGGGTGAAGGTGTGGGAGGCCGAAGCCGACGCGGTACCTGAGAGCGCAGACTCACCAGCACCTCATGAAGCACACGCACTGGCACCTAGAGCAACACCTTCACTAGCACCTAAAGCAGCAGCCTCACCAGTACCTAGAGCAGCAGTCTTAATGCCCGGGTCGGGCGGAAAACAGCGGTAACAGTCACCCTCCTCACTAATAGTCATAGCATACATGGCAGCAAGAATAGCATCAAAGTCAAGGTCAAAGATAGCTACACCCGCCCTAGACAGCTCGCCCCAGCGAGGGATCTTAGTGGCCTCAGGGAACTGGTGGCGCCTAGCGTCAGTCAGGCGGCCAAAGCAGCGCTGGGTGGGGTGCGCACCCCCGCACTGCTCACCCGCCAGGTCGCTGGTGCGTAGGACGTAGGTGCACGGACCAGTACCCCTACCCCGCTGGCGTGCAGCGTACCACTCACGGAGCTGCTGAGGGGGGGGGATGTCAGAGGTTCGCTGCTGCTGCTGCTGCTGGCGCTGACCACCACCGGAGCCGACCCTCTCCGTAGCGCCACCCCGACCAGCTCCACCTCCTCCGCCGCCTCCTCCTCCACCGCCGCCACCTCCACTCCCACCGCCACCGCCACCGCCGCCTCCGCCACCGCCGCCTCCGCCTCCGCCTCCACTGCCGCCACCTACACCTCCACCCCGGCCACCACTCCCACCACCATCCCCACCCCCTCCATTGCCTCCACCGCCACCTTCACTGCCCCCGCCAGCCCCTCCAGCGCCCTTGCCCCCTTTGCCCTTGCCGGGGCGACGTCTCCCACTAGGGGCAGACGCAGCGCCAACCGACTCGAAGCCAACGAGGTCGGCCGCAGCAGCAGAGGCAACAGAGGGCAAAAGGAGGGAGGGGGAACACCCCTCAAAGATGGGGGTGCGAGGGTCACCACGAGAGGCTCCTACAGCGACTATGCTCTTCTCTGCTGCTAGGAGGGCCTTCTTGAGGAGGTCAACGGTGAGTGTGGTGGGGCGAATTGAGAGGAAGTGGTCCCTGACTATGCGAAGGGAGTCAGGGAGCCGGGTGACTATGTAGTATAGGGTGATGTACATGGGGGGGGGGGGGGGGGGGGGGTTCTTGGCGCAGAACTCAGCAGGAAGCGCAGCGCAGTAGCGAGTGTCACTAGTGCGGAGGTGCGTAATGAGGTCAGCGACTGTCGGGAAGGCAGCAAGGTCAGGGAAGAGGTACGGTAGCATGAGGCGGCTCAGTGCAGCAGTGGCAGGGGAGGAGTAGCGTGCAACTACAACATCGTACAAGGTCTGAGCACTCTTGTACTGGCTAAAGTGCGCACGCTCAGAGGTAGGCAAGTGGCGACGCACAGCAAGACATGCAGCATCATCGCGTGTGGCCCACTGTGAGCGAACAGTGGCGTCAGCATCGGCAAGGGGCAGGAGAGGCACCAGAGGTGAGGTCAAAGAGGGAGAGACCGTCTGCCCTATCGCAGTGTAAGAAAAGCTGCAGGTCATCTACCCAGACGTCAAAGTCAATGGCCCGACCCTCAGCGTCAAAGGTGAGGACACCAGGGGTAGCTATGATAGCAGTAGACTAGCAGCGCAAACAGTAGGGTAAGGGCAGTGCAATGAGAGAGGCACTGCTCTTACCGGACAGGGCGGCTCGGGCGGCTCGGCGGCTCGGCAATACGGCGGCTCAGCAGCAACTGCGGCTCGGGCGGCTCGGGCGGCTCGGCGACTCGGCGGCTCGGGCGGCTCGGCGGTCAACTGCTGGGCGGCTCGGCGGCTCGGCTGCTAGGCGGCTCGGCGGCTCGGCTGCTGGGTGGCTCGGCGGCTCGGCTGCTGGGCGGCTCGGCGGCTCGGCTGCTGGGCGGCTTGGCGGCTGGTGTGGCTGGAGACGGCCGCGGCAGCAGTTGCAGGAGCTGTGGCGACTGCTGCTGCAGAGACGGCGGCGGTTGCTGCCTCAGGGACGGCGGCGGCCGGCCGCTAGGGGCCGCGAAGGGCGGCGGAGGGGCCGTGAAGGGCGGCACGAGGGGCCGCCGAGGGCGGCGACGAGCCATGAGGGGGGGTTGTGGAAGGCGGCTCGAGGGGCCGCGAGGGGGCCGTAAGGGGCCGACGGGCGGTGGGAGGAGGCCGTAAGGGGCCGTAAGGGCGGCTCGAGGGGCCGTAAGGGCGGCGTTAGGAGCCGTAAGGGCGGCACGAGGGGCCGTAAGGGCGGCGCGACGGGCGCGACAGGCCGTAAGGGCGGCGCGACGGGCCGTAAGGGCGGCGCTAGGGAGCCGTGAGAGGGCCGCTAAGGGCGACGCGATGGGGCCGTGAGGGGCCTAGCGAGGGCGCGACGGAAGGGAGAGCACACGGGGCGCGACTCGGGCCGGAGCGAAGCGCGCTCTGGGCAGGAAAAAACATTCGTGGTGGTGGGCCCTAGGAATCGTTCCCACTAGGGAACCTGCTCGATACCATGAGAAGAAACGAGGAATGATTGAACTATGAAACAGTTGGGTACAAGTACTAACCCTAATTGGGTTGTACCCCTTATGGGCTACCCCACTACAGCCTACACAAATGTATAAGCTATAATGTCTGACACGCTCCCCCTTGTACGGTTGCACCGGCAGCGGCCCCACCAAGTCCACGTGGACCAGCTCCAAAGGATTCTTGTTCCTCCAACCACACTATGTAAGGGAAAACGGGTAAACTTTGAGAGCAAACATATTTCACGGTTGTCATTGAGTGGCTGTTTTTTCAGCTTCAGATGCTTGACGACTCCATTATCTGGCGTACGTGATACGTAAAAATATGCTGGGTGGGCAGGTAATATTTTTTTTCCGAGCAGGGATAAAAAAACATGTGTGGGGGAGGGGGGGGGGGGGGGGGGGGGTATGTTTCCCAAAAACACATGTCATAATTTAATTTCATAAATATCCAGAATACATCTTCGAGGCTACTTCTCCCCATACATACATCCCCACCCCACCCTCTAGATTTCCTTGCGGGGCTTTTCCAACACCGCCCCTTCCCCATACTCATCCGCCAGAACTGCATCCTCTCCTTCCGCCCCCAGCATGTCATCCTCCTCCTCATCCATGTTATAGCTAGGGGGGATAGGGGCATACGGGATGTTACCGGGCATAACCGTGCTGTCCCCATCCTTATTGTACCAATTGCGCACATCGTTCCAGTTGTGCGCAATGTAGACGAGGTCCGCAGCGGACCTGAGCCGGTTGCAGCGGGCGGTGTGGACGCCTTCCCACTGTGCCCAGCCATGTTCGCATGGGGAAGCCGAGACGGGCTGAGTGAGCACCCGGCATGCGAGGGTGGCAAGCTCAGGGTACTCGGTGCTGTGCCACGACCACCACTGCACCATGGTCATCTCCCCCTTCTTCACTGCCTCCCTTGCAGATATGGCGCCTGGCGTGCCAAAGCTGCCCTCCATGTTGATGTAAGCCAGCAGTGCCTCCTGCAGCACAAGGGAGGCGCGGCGAGGGGCGCCATCCTTGCCACGCCTGAAGTTTTTGTTGTCGTAGTGGCGCTCGATTTAGTCGTTGAACACCCGCGTGCACTCCACATCGTTCCTGAAAATCCCATCCACCTGGTTGGCCGGATTCAGGATCCGGCCAACCACATGCTAGGGGCAGGCAAGGGAGTTGTCCCACCTGTCCTTCACAATCCGGGTGATCTCTGCCTTTTCCGCCCGACTCATGAAATCGCCTGCATCATCCAACTTATCATTGATGTCTTCGGTAAGCTGTAGCATGATATCATACATCTTACCCATCATCCCCTTCGCCGAGGAGTCTGTGACCCGCATGGCCTTGAAGGGCACCGCCATGAGAGCGGTAAAAAACCCCGCCAGCCCCCACCACTCCTCATCCATCACGGCAGCCCTGAACTTTGTTATAGTCACAGTAGGCTCCAATGTGCCTAAAACGAAAGATAGAGTGCACAGTCGGATTTCAGCACAGCGGCTTCAAACGTTCATATCGTTCTGGTCACAGCTTCAAATGACTTGATTCAACTTGGATCTAGAGCGTCTTATTGTCGCCTACAATAGGAAATTTAGATCGCACGATTTCATCAAGTATTGACGACACAACGTCAGTTTGAACGAACGGCACTATGGCAGCCACTATAGTCTTAGAACACAAGATAGGAAGAGTTAGCAAGAGTTACGAGTTGGGAATGACTCCCAGCTCCTACAAACCCCAAGAGCCGAGGTGCAGTGATGTGGAACAGTGCCACACTGTCCCCAACCACGAAGGGTCTCGAAACTACCCTTCACTAGGGCCTACACCAAGTGAAATGTTACACTACACAAAGTAATGTAACTATCTTCAATATCTTGAGGTGTACCCTTTTGACGAGCTTCGAAATCACTTGAGGCTTGACACCAAGGCTCGGGCTCTTCATCACAAACTCATCCTTGAGTTCTTGATGGGTCTGCTACACACACCTGCGACACACCGAACGTTCGACACATGACAAAATAGAAACCGCGCACGACAAAATAAAAACCGCGCGCGAGACACAAACGACCGCGTAACACGCGTCTAGCGATAACTCGCTATTGACTCAACACACACACTCGACATCATGACTCAACATTCACACACAATTATAAGCATGAAATATATATTATCCCATGCCCTCTTACCATTCCATACACACACACATGCATGCACACGGACAACAAGCCGAGTGCAAACCATAGGGTTGCACCAACAAACTCCCCCTCGGATTGTTGGCCTTAGGATATGTTGCTCTCTCAGTTCAGAGCCATCCCAGCCAGCTTGCAACACTTCCAATGTTGCTGCTCCACCAGCCTCTTGGTCATCATGTCAGCCGGCTGCCCCGTGGTCTTCACGTAGCGCAACTCAACTTCACCCGCGGTTACCATGCTCCTCGTCCAATGCCACTTCACCCTCATGTGCTTCGTGAGTCCATGCAACACAGGGTTCTCAGCAAGAGCAATGGCACCCTGGCTGTTACAGTACAGTGGGGTATGTCCTTGCTGCTCCTCCCCCAATTCAGCCAACAAACGCCGCTGCCACACAATCTCCCGTACCGCACGGAAGAGTGCCATGTACTCGGACTCCACCGGGCTCAAAGCTTGGTCAACCTGCTTCTTGCTCTCCCAAGCAGTTGGGCCTCCACCAACACAGCATATGAAGCCTCCCACACTTGTCATGTCCTCTGGTTCTGATGCATATGAAGCATCCGAGTAGGCGGTGAGGTACAAACGCCCGGGTTCAACACCATCCGCGCCCTTTTGGCGCCTTTGTGCCGCCGCCGAGTATTGCAGCCCAACGGTCCGTGTTTGGCCAAGATACTTTGCCACCCTCATTCCAGCTGCTACCTGCTCCTCATTAGGGCATTGCACAACCCTAGCCAGCTGCCCGGTAGCAAACGCGACGTCCGGTCGGGTGTTTACCGCCGCATACATGAGGCTGCCCACCAACGAGTGAAATTGGCGCCTCTCCTCTTCGCAAACGCTCTCCTCCTCTGGTCCCTTCACACACTTGAACCCAGAGGGAAAGGGAGTAGCCACATGACCTTCACTCTGGCCAAAGTTGGCAGCCAACACCTCCAGGTACTTCCGTTGGTGCACTCGCATGCTCCGCTTCTCCACGTCTCGTTCGATGTGGAGCCCAAGGTAGAAGTTCACGTCACCAAGGGACTTGCACTTGAACTTATCTTGCAGCTTCAGCATCACCTCCTTCACAAGGTCAGGAGAGGGTGAGAAGATCAGGATGTCGTCCACGTACACCACCATGAAGCTCCTCTGCTCCCCCTCGCCAAGCATGAACAAGGAGTGATCGGCCGTTGAGGGAGTGAAGCCGATCCCCTCCAACACTTCCCGCAGCTTCATGTACCATTGCCTAGGGGCCTGCTTCAGCCCATAGAGGGCCTTCTTCAGCTTCCACACTCTGCCACTACCATCATCAAACCCCTCTGGCTGCGCCATAAAAATCTCCTCCTCAAGGATGCCGTTAAGGAATGCCGTTACGATGTCCATTTGTTTTACTACCCATCCTTTGATGGCGGCTCCCGCGAATAGGGTTCGCAGCGTCGTCGGCTTCACTACAGGGGAAAACAGCTCCTTGAAGGCCACCTTCTCCTTCTGTTGGTACCCCTTGGCTACAAGCCTAGACTTGTAGCGCTCGATCTTGCCTTCGGCATCCGACTTGATTTTGAAGAGCCACTTGGACGTTATCGCCATACGCCCCTCCGGTAGCTCCACCAATTCAAACGTGTCATTCTCCTTGATGCTATTCAGCTCACTCTCCATGGCCTTCTTCCACTCCTCAGCATCACTACTCTCCAAAGCCTCCTTGAGAGTTGCTGGTTCTCCCGGCATCTCCACTGGAGAGAAGAACGCGAAGGCACACTCCTCGTAGTCACTCTCCTCGTCGTCTCCGACCATCATTGCCGCTCCGGCCAGGGCTGTCTTGCCCTGCTTTCCCAGCGCATCACAGGTCAGCCTATTAGGGGGTTGAACTCTCCTCTTCCCCCTTCCTTCCTCCTCAGCTGCAGGGACTTGAAGGCCTTGGCGTTGCTGCGGTATGGCTCGAATCCGTGGAGCACTCGTCGTACAGGAAGGGAGTGACGGTGCACGCTCGCTCACTTGCTGCACCTCCTCCTCTTCTTCCTCTGCATCATTGGCCTCCTCTCCCCCATTCACAAGGGAAGATTGCCTTGTGGTAGTGCTGCCACTGCTCAGCTCCAAAGGCAGCTCCACATGCTCCAAACCGGAACTCTTCACCTCCCCAAACCGCACGCCTATCTTCGCCTCATTCTCCGCCTTCCAATCCTTGTACATGAAGTTCTCCATGAACATGCAGTCCCTGGTCACCAAGAACTTCTTGGTGAATGGGTCCCAAAGAAGCCATCCCTTGCTGTTTTGAGCCATGCCCAGGTGCACGGCCCACACCGCCTTGGCACCAAGCTTGTTGTGCCGAAGATGCTTAGGCACAAGCGCCATGCACATGCACCCGAACACCCGAAGCATATCCACCTTTGGCTTCCCTCCTAGCCACTCCACATAGGGCACCCATTTGTCTGCTCCCACATGAGTCAAGGCCCTGTTCTTGGCCACACACGCGCTCCGCACCGCATCAGGCCAGAAATAGTCGGGTAGCCCGGCTTCAATGAGCAACCCGCATGCCGCCTCCGTGATTGTGCGGTTCGCTCGCTCGGCGATGCCATTCATTGCAGGGGAGTATGGCATGGTGAGGGAGTGCCGAATACCATTCTTCTTCAGCCACAACCCAAACTCCTTGCTCAGGAACTCTCCTCCTCGATCGGTGCGGATTGACTTGACTAGACGGTCTTGTTGCCGCTCCACCATCGAGAACCAATCCGCCTTCAACGTTTCAGCCACGTCGCTCTTCCTGGCCAGCACGTACACCCAAGTCATACGGGTGTAGACGTCCACAATAGTGAGGAAGTACTCAGCTCCAGCAGCTCCAAGCTACAGGGGGCCCACCACGTCCATCACCACCTCATCAAGTGGTGCCTTAGCCGTTGCCTCCGAACTAGAGAATGGGAAACGGGTGAACTTGGCTTGCATACATGTCGGGCAGCCAAGTACCTCATCGGGCTCCCCTTTCACACGTATGCCAGCAACCATCTCATTCTTCACTAGCTGCTGCAAGATGGGCAGGGCCACATGCCCCATGCGCCGATGCAAGGTGAGCCAATCACACTCCCCCGTAGCCGAAGTTGGATTGGAGAATGCCGCGCTCGCAATAGCGCCCCACATACTCTCTCCGTAGTCCCCCTCCGCTGTTGCCTCGGGGTTCTCCTCACCCTTTTGCTGCTCCTTGGCTGCTGCACCTCTCTCCATAGGTTCACCAAGCTTGCTGGTCCCTCCAAGATTGCACTTCTTGGACTCCTTCTCCTTAGCGCGACCGTCCGCGCAATCGCCGCTACCAACCGCTCCACCTTTAGTGCTGACGCTTGCTGCCACTTGCCTCTCCTTAGGCATTGGGACCACAGGGATCTGCCACATCTCTGTCCTCATGAAGGTCCCAAAGAATCCGATCGCCAAGCCTTGCGGTGTAGGTCTTGGCTCCCTTCGAGTTAGTGTCCATGCCGGCCTTTGCCAACCGCCGCACGGAAATCAGGTTTGCAGCAAGGCTGGGCACCCAAAGCACGTTCTTGAGGCCCACCATCTTCCCATCAGCACCCTTGAACATGGCCTTGCCCATGCCTTTCACCTCTGCTCGCTGTCCCAAAGCCGATGTGACATGCTTCACTGGTGACGGCTCGAGTTCGGTGAGCAAGTCCGGGCGAGGTGTCATGCTATAGGTAGCGCAACTATCAATCACCCAATAGTCCAGGGGGTGTAGGGTCACCTTCCCCACAGCTGCTGGCTCCTCAAAGCCTTCATCCTTCTCAGGACCAGCCGGTACTTGCATCGACACGAAGTAGAATAGACCCGGGTATCGATCGTCGCTCGGGTCCTTGTCATTGTCTCCGCTCTTCATGTTTGCAGCTCCGCCACCGCGACCACCACGGCCTCCACGGCCTCGTCCTCTCCCTCCTCCTGCTCCTCTACCCTCTTGGCCTTGAGCAGGGGTCCAACCATCAGGGAGTTTGTAGCAGTCCCGCCACATGTGTCCACTCTTGTGGCAATAGTGACACTCGCCGTCGAATCGGCCGCGACCACGTCCGTAGCTCTTGTCGTCGCTGCCGTAACCGCCACTCCCGCGGCCTCCGCCGAAGTTGCTGCCACCAAACCTTCCTCCCCCTCGTCCTCTGCCTCTTCCTCGACCATATCCACAGCCGATGCTCGCTGCCCCAGCGCCATCCGCACTCGCCAACTCACGGCGGCGGAAATCCTCTTGAAGGATAGCTCGCTTCACTTCTTCAAGCGAGAGGCGGGGCAAGTCGCGATTAAGGTTGATGATGAGCGAGGACCATGACTCAGGGAGTAGGGCCAGCAACTTGGTCTTCTTTTGGAGCTCACTATAGCTCAAATCGGCTCCCTCAAGCCGCGTCAACAAGTCGAAGAATTTCTGCACCCCTTCTTCAACCGCTTCATCCTCTTCAATTCGTAGTGTCGCCATTTGCCGTTCCAACACCACAGCTACCGCCGCTGTTGCAAGAGCGTGTACACCCTTGAGAGCAGCCCATGCTTTTGGTCCCTTCTCTGGTTCACGCTGGAAAGGCTTGATGTGACGGATTTGGCTGCTCCCCAACGCTTGCCCAAGTAGGAGGTAGCCTTGTGCGCTCTTCCGCACCCACGGGCTCTTCTCCGGGTCGTTCTCGGGACACTTCTCCGTTCCTTCCATCACCTCCAGCAGGTCATAGTGGTCAAATATGTTCTCCATTCTGAAGGACCACTCAGCAAAGTTGTCACCATTGAACTTGTCAAGGCCAAACACTCTAGGCTCATCCCTAGATGGGCCAACACTTGGTTGCACGGGCGCCATGGCTGAGTCACGGGGTTGGCCTTGAGCTTGGGCTTCTCCTCTACCACCAGCACCTCTGCCACCCCTTTTCTCATGTCCAGCCATTGTCGAAACTGCTCCAAGGGGCTCTGATACCACTTGTTTTAGTCACAGTAGGCTCCAATGTGCCTAAAACGAAAGATAGAGTGCACAGCCGGATTTCTGCACAGCGGCTTCAAACGTTCATATCGTTCTGGTCACAGCTTCAAATGACTTGATTCAACTTGGATCTAGAGCGTCTTATTGTCGCCTACAATAGGAAATTTAGATCGCACGATTTCATCAAGTATTGACGACACAACGTCAGTTTGAACGAACTGCACTATGGCAGCCACTATAGTCTTAGAACACAAGATAGGAAGAGTTAGCAAGAGTTACGAGTTGGGAATGACTCCCAGCTCCTACAAACCCCTAGAGCCGAGGTGCAGTGATGTGGAACAGTGCCACACTGTCCCCAACCACGAAGGGTCTCGAAACTACCCTTCACTAGGGCCTACACCAAGTGAAATGTTACACTACACAAAGTAATGTAACTATCTTCAATATCTTGAGGTGTACCCTTTTGGCGAGCTTCGAAATCACTTGAGGCTTGACACCAAGGCTCGGGCTCTTCATCACAAACTCATCCTTGAGTTCTTGATGGGTCTGCTGCACACACCTGCGACACACCGAACGTTCGACACAGGACAAAATAGAAACCGCGCACGACAAAATAGAAACCGCGCGCGAGACACAAACGACCGCGTAACACGCGTCTAGCGATAACTCGCTATTGACTCAACACACACACTCGACATCATGACTCAACATTCACACACAATTATAAGCATGAAATATATATTATCCCGTGCCCTCATACCATTCCATACACACCCATCCGAATGTCTATCTTTGGTCTCTCTCAGCAGGAGAAAGCCGGGCAGCTAGCATGGGCATATATCTTGTCTACTTATCAAGCTCGTGATGCCCTTCACGCTTCCCTACTTCAGACCCAGTTAGCCCAACTCAGGAAGGGAGATGATAAGATGGTGGAATCATACTGCAATAGGGCCCGCACCATCCGAGCGGAGTTGCTGACCATTTGACAGGAGGTCCACATGGTCACGTTTGAAGCTCACGTGCTGAAGGACCTGCCACCGGAGTACGGATTTCTTCGCCGCAAGCTCGGACGCGTGACGGTGGAACGCGTGTGCAGCCCTGACATGACGGTGGAACGCGTGTGCAGCGAGGCGTTTATAGAGGAGCATACTCTTTCCATTGAACAGAGTTACAAGCAGACCAACGATGCATATACTTTCTCGGGCGCTGTCAACACCATCGTGGCTACCACGGGGGTCAATGGGAAGGAAGGAAAAGGGGGAAGGGAGCAGACGGACAAGAAGAATGATGGCAAGCGGGAGAAGAAGCAAGGGGCGCTGCTACAATTGCAATGAGGAGGGTCACATGGCTGCCAAGTGCACCAACAAGAAGAAGGATGCAACACCCGCGGCAGCCGCAAACGTAGCTGAAGGAAATGGGAAGGGCGTGGCGCTCACCGTCGCGTGTTCGGCTGCAAAGTTGCTGGCCGTCGACAAGGACTTGAGGTTCCTTGACTCAGGATGCTCCCAACACATGACCGGCCGAAAGGAGTGGTTCACGATGATCGATGACCCATCTGCAACGAAATCTGTCAAAGGGTTTGATGGGTCTATGCAGGAAGTTGCCGGTGTTGGCGAGGTTTTACTCGAGGGCACTAACAGTTTGCGTGTGACCCTGCATGATGTCCTCTTTGTGCCAGGAATGAAGGCCAACTGTGTCTTTCCTGGGCAGCTCACGGACAAAGGAGCAAATCTGCAAAATGAAGAAGGTGTCACCCGCATCATTGCATCGAGAGGACAAGCGGCTGCAACAGCACGCTACCGCCATCGTCTTCTGTACCTTGACCTGAAACCGTGGCCAGCAAGCAACGGCACAATGGCTGGAGCGGCATGCAATGACACGGTGGCTGCAGCGGCTTGCACCGGTACGACGGCTAGAGCGGCATGCAATGGCACGGTGGTTGCAGCGGCATGCAACGGCACGGCGGCTGCAGCAACATGCAACAGCACGGTGGCTGCGGTGGCATGCATCGATACGGTGGCTGCGGCGGCTGCAGTGACATGCAACGGCATCACTAAGGCAGCTGCTGAGGTGTTGCCAAGCGAGCCGGAAGAGAATGACGAAGTGGCCAGCCTCACAACATATGCGGTGGGGATCGAGGCGATGCTCAACCTGCCGCACACTCACCTTGAGAATGACTATGCTGGTGCGGTGAAGTGGACAGCCACAAACGGTGGTGTGCTAGTCATGGACCTAGAAAAAGGAGGGGAGGACACGTCGAGCGCCTCCTCCCAAGAAGCCAAACTCACTCGTCAAACACTTCCGCTGCCTGACGAGCAAGAGGGGGAGGTTCTTAGGATGGTCCATGGCCCTGAGCAGAATCAGCCACTGTCACGTTCCATCATCATGGTCCCGGTGCCGTCCGTGCAAGAGGGCGAGCAACTCCTTGATCGCTCGGTGGGCCCTTTGAGTAGCAAGGCACCTACTACACCTCCTCCTCTCGGTCCACCCTCCGTTGCTAATTCGGCGCCCGTGGGACTAGAGGATGGTCCTATGGAGGTTGGCACCAGCATGGCTGATCACGAAGACGAAGAAGAAGTAGCAGTGGATGAGCAGTCACCAATGGCCCATGAGCATGAGCCTTCACCTGCAGTTTCCCCCATCCAGCCCATTCCACCACCCCCACGTCGCTCCAGCAGGCCTAACAAGGGGGTGCCACCCGTACGGTTTCAGCCATTATCCATGACGGCCCAGGATGCAAACGATAAGGACAACCCGTACGACGTGGCGTACCTTACTGAGGACGATTGCGACACGGACAGCGATGACGAAGTGGAGTATCCGGACGAGGATGAGGAAGAGGAAGGTGCTTGGGGAGGTGTCATCCTCGACCTGGCAGCTGCGTTGACCGGACATGAAGGCAAGGAATAGTGGGCTGCTATGAAGGAGGAGATGGAGAGCCTTGATGAGCAAGGCACTTGGACGTTGGCTGACCTACCCGAAGGTCACAAAACTGTCGGCATCAAGTGGCTGCTGAAGAAGAAGCTGCGACCTGACGGCTCGTGGCAAAGGAATTCAGCCAGCACTTCGGCATCGACTACGACGACGCCTATGCTCCGGTTGGCAGCTACACCACCGTCCGTGTGCTCCTCTCAATCGCAACAGCTATGGACCTGGATTCGCTGCAGCTTGATATGAAGAATGTGTTTCTTCACGACACCATCGACCACAAGATCTACATGCAGCAGCCGATGTACTTCACCGACGGGAGCCGCAAGGCTCTTGCAGAAGAGCCTTTACGGGCTAAAGCAAAGAACCCTTCTCTGGTACAAGGAGCTGGACAAGGTGCTCCTTGTGGAGGGGTGCAAGAAGAGCCTTGTGGACCAGGCCCTATACTACAAGGATGGGGCGAGCGGGAAGCGCATGTGGCTGCTAATCTATGTGGATGACCTGCGAGCGGCAAGTGAAGACAAGCAGCTGCTGCAGGACCCAAAGGAGCTATTGGCCAAGGCGTTTCAGCTCCATGAGGTGGAGCCAGTGGAGTGCTACCTAGGGCAGCAGATTATGTGCGACCGCCTCAACAGGACACTCCTCCTGCACCGGAATGCATACGTGGCGAAGGTGCAGCAGCGGTTCTTCAAGGGGGCGCCACCGAAGAAGCAGCCGATCACTCCTCTCTCCTCTGTCAGCTTTGCCAAGCAGGATGCCAGGCAGTTTGCCAACCGTACCATGACTGAGTACTTGTTACACCTCAAGACGGATGCGCATTGGCATGAGCTCTTCCGCACACTCTCCTACTGGGCTGCCTCACCGGACATGGGGCTGCTGTTGAAGGCAGGACCAGAGAATTTGACCCTTGTGGGGTACGTGGATGCGGATGATGCGGGCGACAAGGAGAACCGGTCATCCACGGGAGGCTACCTCTTCAAGCTTAGCGAAGCTGCCATTTCCTGGCAGGCCTAGAAGCTGCAGGGTGCGACCAAACTATCCTCCACTGAGAGCGAGCTTGTGGCTGCGGTGGAAGCGGGAAAGGAGGGGCGCAAGCCAAAGTTCCTGCTGTGGGAACTTCAGCTGCTCAAGGGTGTTCCCACCACCTTGTACGTCGACAACATGTCAACGGTGCAGCTCAGTCAGGCGGGCGGGCTGCAGGGGCGCATGAAGCATGTGAACCGTTGCCACATGTGGCTGCAGGACATGGTGCGCATGAAGAAGATGGAGCTGCAGCATGTCCCAACAACAGCGCAGCCCGCGGACTTCTTCACTAAGTGGCTCAACAAGGCAGCCTTTAACCGATGCTGTGCAGTAGCTGGGCTGGTCCATCGTGCTCCTGACAGCAAGGGGGCATGTTAGAAGGAAATGCTGCCATGAGCAACAAAATGTCGGCGCTGGGATTCTAACTCGTGACCTTCAAATTTGTACTGAAAGCGTCTTAAGACAAATTCAGGACAGTTTCTGCTAAGGCTGTCAACGGGAGTTGTGTTTGGCCCCGTCCTCGCTAGGGGCAGAGCCGCGAAACCACGGGGGACCGTGGGAGCCGCGAAATCATGGAGGGCCGCCGCGAGACCACGGGGGACCGTGGGAGCCGCGAAATCGTGGAGGGCCGCCGCGAAACCACGGGGGACTGTGGGAGCCGCGAAATCGTGGAGGGCCGCCGCGAAACCACGGGGGACCGTGGGAGCCGCGAAATCGTAGAGGGCCGCCGCGAATCCACGGGGGACCATGGGAGCCGCGAAGTCATGGGGGGGACCGCGGTTGCCACGAAATCGCGGGGGACCGCGGTGGCCACGAAATCGCGGGAGGACCGCGAAATACCCGGTCAACCAGGATACCCGGACGACGCGCGCGAATGTCGTCGGGGTGTTTTCTGCAAGTACGATTTCGGGGGTGGTATCCCGAGGTCGACGTGGCTGGTGGGCGCCGTCACGGGTAAAGGTTCTGCGCTGGGCGTGTGACAGGGAGTTGGGCGCCAACCAGCAGCGCGCACCTGCAAAGCTGGTGCACCGTTGTCCCGCGGATGCATCGCTGTGCAGCCGACTTACTGCAGCGTTGGCACACCGTGGACGGGCAACGTTGGCAAGCCGCGACTCTGCTCTGCTGGAGCGCGGTTGACCAAGTCGTGCTGGCACGCGGTCGACCGTGCTGTGCTGGCAGTCGACCAACAGCCTGGCTAGGTCTGATGTAGTCTGTGTTGCCAATGTTGATGCTAATAATTCTGGACCTTGTTGTCATGTTTTCCTAGTGAAACTCTTGCCAATTTTCCCCGTGAACTAGCAAGCAGTGTTAACACTTGGAAACGACTAAGGAACCAATGAACACAGTGATCACACAAGCATCCGTGCCTTGCCCGTAGTCTATCTCCCGTTGCAATAGTTATCTCCGCATGGTGCGGTGAGCGTGGAACAACACCGCGACAAGACCTTCGGTTTAGCTGACTTCTCATTTACCCCGTTTGTTCGTAGACCGGCGGCTGTGTTAGTCGCCATGGTGGACCCCGTAGAAGAGGCGGGTGTCGTGGACACTTTGGAAGCACGGCTGGAGGACGCGAGGAGACGTCATGCAGCGAACGAGTACGGAACTCTCCCGCTGACGGTGGTCGAGGCTGGCATTCGCGCCTTGTGGGCGGCGGAGCACCCCCCTTCTCAGCCTGTATCTCCTCGACCGGTGAACAACGCAGGCAGCGTCGACGCGGGAGTCAACGCCGCGGGTGACCAAGTCGGTAGCAGCGCGGGAGGCACGTCAAGGCAGCGAGGTGTGATTCGAGCCGATGAATTCGGCGGCGTTCAGGCGCGAGGGATGCAGTCATCGGCGGCTGCAGGGGCCTCGCGAAACTACGTCGGAGGCAGACGAAGTGAATTGGCGTCGATGTCGGCGACTCACGTGACCGCGGGAGGAATCGCACCAAGCTACGGCTACTTCAAGTTTACCCCGGACAGGATCTCGGTCTCACCTCCGCTGGTCGGTCGTCCCGACATCCTCACGTGGAAGGAAGCCATTGAGCCCTAGCTGGAGATGTCCGGGCTGATGGGCTTCGCCCGCGGGACCGTGGCGACGCCGGAGGAGCACTACCCCGACCTGCGAGCGGAATTTCGTGCCGTGCAGTTGCTGACCTTTACGGTCATTTCGCGGTGCTGTTCGCCGGGCGTACAGATTGCCCTGAAGTCGTGCAGGGAGTACCTCGACGCTGGCCACCGGGCGTGGCATTTCATCGAGTCAACTTACCAAGTCACCGACGAATTGTTCATTGCCTAGCTTGAGGGGCAATTGACGCACCTGCGTATGGGCGACGAGGAGACCGCGACTGACTACTGCAACCGTGCTCGGCGAATTCTCGCCACCATTTGGATGGCTGGCGCGGAATACTCGACAGCATCGTACGTCACGCATGTCATGCAAGGACTCTCGAGCAGCTACAACTTGCTGAAGCGACTGTCGATGGCGCCGAGCACGCGGGCTACGCTCAACGAGGACACACTAACCTCGTACATCCTTCAGCACGAGGCGATGTAGGAGGCTGAGCGGTTTCGGGAGCTTGTCGAGCAAAAGAATTTTGCGGCCCCCGCGAAACAAGGTGGTCGACCGGGACAGCGCGGGCAGTCTGGTGGCAGCCACCGCGGTGGCGGGAAGCTGGCGAAGGATGCTGACAAGCAGAAGTCGGCCAAGGATAGTGGTCTTGGAGGAGGAGGCCGACTTCAGGAATGCTGGCTGTGCGGCGATCCTGATCACCTCTCCTTCGAGTGTCCCGACCGCAGTGACTCGGACGACGACGAAACCAAGGGAGGCCGCGGAAGGTCTGGCAGCCGTCGTTCGCGTCGAGGAAACCAGCCGCGAAAAGAGAAACAGTCGACAAAGTCGACCTCGGCGAAGGACGCCGACTCTTCCGCGGGTGGCAAAGGGCGAGGCGACAAGGAGGCGTCGTGCTCGTTGGTCGGTATCGTGGAACCGACCGTCTTGCTAGCGCCGGAGGTTGGCAAGGATTTTGAGGCGGTGGCGGCAGCTATGCAAGCGAACCCCGTGGTGGTCCTGCTCGACAGCGGCTGCTCAACTCACCTGATGGGGACGAAGGAGGCCTTCGTCAATCTGCTTTCGGCTGGTCAGCTGAAGGAGAGCGGGGTGACGCTGAAGGACGACGGCGACCGGATGTTGCTCATCTCCACCGCGGGGGATGTGCTCGGTCGCGCGACGTATACCGGCCGGGTCCTCTGCATTGACCTGCGCCCATGCGCGGTCAAATCGGAGACGCCCGCGAAAGAGGAGGTGGCTCTGCGGGCGATCGTCTCGGCAACGAAAGCAACCCCGAACAGGCTGCACGCGAGGCTGGCGCATGTTGGCATGGACACCATATGGAGCTTGGCGAAGCACGAGGTCGCCACTGCGCTGGACCTCGAGTCGGTGTCTGGCGCCGACTTACCGTGTGTTTCGTGTGTCGGCGGGAAGCTGGCGCGGCATACCTTCCTGGACCACGGCTCCGAAGCCGACGACGTCCTGGCCGTCGTGCACATCGATTTGTGCAGGCCATTTTGCGTGGCTGCTAAGGATGGCAGCCTGTACTTCTTGCTGTTGAAGGACCGCAAGACCCGCTATGTGTGGGTGAGGCCGGTCGCCAAGACCCGCAAGACTCGCTATATGTGTGTGGGCATAAGCCCGATTTATCGATGGCGCGGGTGTGGGGCTGCATGGCGCAATTCCTCGTCCCTGAGCAGCAGCGCGGTGGGAAGCTGAAGCCGAAGGCTCGGTGGGGCCTTCACCTCGGCGTGTCGGAGGAGAGCAAGGGCTGGGAGCTCCTCGACATCACCGCCAACCGGGTGGTCACCACGTCGGACGCGGTGTTCTACGAAACTCTGTCGCTAGAGGTGTGGAAATCGGACCTCGGGCCTGCATCGGGTCGGACGCGGGCCAACCCGCCGACGGACACCTCGATGGCGCCACTTCCT